AGCAGGAATATAGTCCTCAGGGCTTGGCAGACCAGGATGTGTTCCACACTCTCTTGCTCTCCCTTAATTTGCTCCTATGTGCTCTGATCAGACATGTCCCTTTCCCTGAGCTGTAGCTACAGTGCTGTCCCCTGAAGTGAATTCTTCTGCAGGGACAGGTGGCTGTTCACATAGTTGGGATTGGACCTGGCCCCTCAGACCTCTCTACTGGTGTTCCCTGCTTCATATCGGTATGTTGCATTCATGTCTTGGAACACCTGGTTGAAGTCTCGTCTGTCTTTCCCTGTGGAGATATAAACAATACCCTCCCCTTGAATGGGTTAGTGCCCTGTTCCCATGCTGCCTATGTCTTTTTTGTTTTTTCTCCCCCACCCCCCTCCTTTTTAGTTGGCTACCATATGGGTCCCTGGATTTGGTCTGACCCTTGCCATACTACCTGGACCTCACCCCAGGAATATTTGTATACGGTAGTTTTTCCCTATGCCCCTTTTTCATTTTTAAGCTTACCTCAGCAGACTCATGTTGTATTTGTCCTTTTGTGCTTGGTTTACTTCACTTAGCATAATTTCCTCCCATTCTTCCCATGCAGTGATGTGCTTCATGTTTTTATCACTGCTTTTTAGGGCTGCGTAGTACTCCGTTGTATGTTTGTACCACAGTTTTTTAATCCATTCTCCTGTTGATGGAAATTTGGGTTGTTTCCAACTCCTTGCAGTTGTGAACTGTGCCGCGATGAACATTGGAGCATACCCTGTTTCCCCGAAAGTAAGACATCCCCTGAAAATATGACCTACTTAAAGTTTTGCCTCGCTGAAATATAAGGCATCCCCTGAAAATAAGACCCCCTGAAGCTACCGTAACTCTGGATTCTGGACCATAGTGGCAGGCGCCACCGAACAGCTCACTGTTGGCCGCAGCACAGCTGGAGCAGACAGGAAGTGCAAGGTCTCTTTTAATAAAACAATAAATAATAAATGTGTACCGTATTCTTCTTCATGGAAAAATAAGACATCCCCTGAAAATAAGACCTAGTGCATCTTTGGGAACGAAAATTAATATAAGACACTGTCTTATTTTCGGGGAAACAGGGTAGATGTCTGGCCGCAGTTTGTTTTTTGCCTCTACTGGGTATATGTCCAGTAGGGGGATTGTTGGGTCGTATGGTAGCTCAATTTCCATCTGTTTTAGATATCGCCAAATTAATTTCCATAGTGGCTGTACA